ACGGAGGGAATCTTCTAAGTTGGTAAATCTGTAAATTCTGGCTTAGGTCACCCTGAGAAGCCCGCACGTGATTGGTGTTTGTCTCTAAGTGGCCAATCACGCACACGTTTTGCATGAGTGTGGGCGGTTGATACAGCACAAACATTTGCCAGCTAGACTCCTCTGCTCGCGCGAGGAGCCTACACTTTATATAACCCACAGGTTGAGGTCCCCTGAGAATTTCCAGATTTCTAGCATTTCGGTTGGCGCGTATCGATTTAAACCTGGCAAGCTGTCCGACAACAGGCGGAGTGTGAACATCCAAGTCCTTTTATTGATCCACTCTAGCCCGTTAAATGGTCGCTTATGTGTGGATCGGAGAAAAGAAATTTCTTTCATCGCATCATTTGCAGGGCGATTATGGATATCTCAACCTCCTCGATGATATCTATCATTGAAAGGTGCAGTTGTATTGTGTCGTAGGATTCCCTTGGTTCGTGTAGATATGGGCTTTTGTAGCGACTACGGCCTCGCTCTAATTCAAAGCTTTCAGAAGCTAGCGTGTTCTCCCTACAGCACATAGGGTGCGAAGCGTGCCAACATGTGGCCTCGGGTTTTCTCATAAAGTTTAGTTCACATAACCCGCATTCAGATTCCGCGCCCTAAGCAGGCGAAGGCCTGGAAAGCGTACCAAATGCCAGGATACTTTTGATGGTTAGCGTAGACCACCAACCAAGAGCACTTTGACGCGAAGGCATATTCCGCCACAACGTGTGCCCTGGGCGTTCGAGGTGAATTTGACAGTGGGACTTAATCATTGAAAGCATCGGCAGGATTGTTGGCACGCTTTGCTTATCCTTAAATAGAAGGGTAGATGGAGCTTACTTGCAGTCTATGTCTGAGGGCCAAAAGGGGCGTTCCCAAGTATGCACAGCGATTGCTGCGATGGTCCAGACAACGAGAGGCACGGAGGTATCTGTAAGAGAGTAAAGCAAGTACGGGAATATGGAGCCCTCACGAAGCGTTCTTGAAAACGTCCCCTTTTCGCCCTTCGACATGGAGTGTAAGTGGTCGCATCGATTCTAGAAGCATCCAGTCTATTGAAGTCGGTGTGGTCAAGTAAAATCAAATATTGGAGCAATTCTGTGATAGCAGGTCATCAAACCGTCAACAGACCGGCGTTCAGACTTCGCGATGACGCACGTCGACGCGCGTCAAAGCGCTACACTTGCAGCAGTAGACGTAAAAGCAGTCGCAGACCGAATTTGATCGGCGTCGACCGCTTGTGTTTTGTGATAGTATGGGGGGGAGGAAGGAAAGAAGGAGGCTCTTGCCTGCCAGAGTAGTGCTCTTTGCCCATACGCGCAGTATGGATTCGATTGGCACTAGCCGCTAACGCTTTGGGAGAGTTCAGTAGGATAGGAGTGTACCAGGTTGTGTGAAAGCGCCCACTCTCCCTTATTCTTTGGTCTCTCGGAGCGCAAGCGGCCAGCTCCAATCGATTCTCCTCTGCGGCTGATGCTTCTGTCGCATTTGCGCCTCCTTGCTGTGGTAGCAGTGCGTCGACGCGAAGTATGAACGCTGCCTTGCTCTTGAAGCGATGCGACCGGACGACTAGCGTATCGCAATAGGTGGCGCTCAGACGATTAAACGCGGATAAACGCTTCAGCAAATGTCGTCCATACGACATTTTCCGAATGATTTCATTGAATGTAATTCAGCTACGTACCGAGTACAGTCAGCTATCGAGCAAGCTGAATCAGGCGTTGCGGCAAATGGATTTGCTGCGATCGAGCCCATATTCGACTATGCGCTCATCTTCACATCCACGTACCAGTGTCTACTCTCATTTCTATCCCTACTACTAGTTCTGATACAAAATTTCCTGCCGTTGAACAAAAAAAACCCGATCGCCTATATCGTTTGCCAGCTGGGACCATTCTACGCCATGCTCGATCCCATTCAGAAGAAATGAATCAATATATACGTTGACAGCGAGATGTAGATAAGCTTCCCACTTTGTAGTTCTTCAAACGTCCGCTTAATTTTTTAAATACGCTTTACTGTAAAATCAAAGGCTACCGTACAAATTATGCGATTCCCTTTTCTGTTGGAATTCAAGTTTCGCGGCAAGTGTGTCATCATACCGTAGATCGATTATCGATTGATACATTAGTGTTATATATGTGTAATATACATAATCGGCGTAGGCTGCTCGCTTTTACATGACACCAGTGCGCCTTTGTGTTTCACGCTACTCCATGTCCTCTAACATTTTTCTATTCTTTCTTTTTTTTTCTTTCATTTCACCTACTCGACTATCTGCTTCACGTCCTACTATTTGCTCTATGTATGAAAAATATTACCCTATTACAGTACCCTATCCGAAAACGCGACTTCTTTGTCCTAGTGCACAGTATTTAGGGTGTATGCAGCACTTTGCACTCACTAACTTGTATGTTTGGGCTGTCTGCATCTTCAGAAATGTAATTAGCAATGATAAAGTTTTCGTACTTGTTTGTCCAGTGTGTTGATGAAAATGGACTTTCATCTAAATACTTAACATGTAATGCACTTTGTAATTAGAATTATCTTCTTCAAAGTCAGTGGCCTGTGGGCGGGCGATTACTGGCAACGTAACTGGAGGAGGGGCTGAGTGGGGCGTGCCCCTCCGCAACCCTTCCACCAATGACGTTGGCAGTAATCGCCCGCGCTCGGCCATGGGGCTCCTGCCTCTGAAATGATTGACGAAATGATCATATCTAGTGGTAAAGCTGTGTTTCAGAGATCTTACGCAAATCTAGGAGGCAAGAACAACAGCTACTCGTCGCTGAATCGTGTATTCGCCACTAGCCCATGGGAGAACCACTTTTAAATGGTTCGTTCATTTGTTTCGGAGAGGAATTTTCTGATAAACAAAGTATTGTCTAATGTATGCATACTCATTCAATGTTTCACCATGTAAACTCGCTCTTTGGGCACACCATTTCTTCATCTCGTCTACGCTCTGACTCTAGTCAACCTTTTGTCATCCTGAACTAAGACAGCTTTCAGACTCGGCGATGACGCGCGTCATCGCGCTCTATCGCCCCGTAACGCACGTCGATGCGCTACAGTTGCAACAGCGCCCCATTCCAGTAGACGCCAACGCAGCCGCAGACGGGAGATCGGCGCTGGCCGCTTGTGTATCGAGATAGTACAAGGGAACAGGAGAGTAGCGCTGCCGAATAACGAAGTGTGGTATCGATTGACTGGCGACAGATTTTTGGGAGAGTATAGAAGAATGGGAGAATATCAGATTGTGTTAAGGAATTGTTCGCCGTCTTCCGACTGTAATGTCTCAAAACACAAGTCGCCGGCGCCGATTGATTCTCGTATGTGGCTGGCCTTGCTTCGCCAATGGTAATCGATTACTAACCGCTTACCATTGGCGGGTTCATACCATCCCTCTTGAACCGCCTCGACTACCTGCGACGGTATCAGCTGTACCCCAGCGCTACTGTTCAGTGGGGAAGTAGGCGTGCAAATTTGATCGCCCACGGCACTCGCAGCAGCATCTAAGATTTAACGCGAAACGCTGCTGTAAGCAAAGTCAGCTAGTTAGAAAGTGCTCAGGAGACTTGCTTTCCGCCTCAACATCTGCACTGCATACCCCTGAGATGGAGAGGGTGTGGCTGCGTTCCTTCTTTAATAATGGTGTAGTGTGCGTTTGCTCTGGGATAATAACATTTGAAACAGTTGTCATATTTTGCGTTGGACAAAGGCATGACTGTAATTGTTTCAAAACGGCAGTATGCCTTCAGAAGCGCGATCTATCAGCGTCACGCTGAAACGAGGTAAGCGCGCTCTATCCGCGTCACGCTGGAACGAGGTACGCAGCCACGCCCTCTCTATCTCCAAACGGTTGGTGCAGGTCTACTATGAAGCAAAGAACTTGTGGGAGCTATGGCATATCAATATTACTTGGATGTCTTTTTTTAATTCTGAGGGGTTTCAGATTGGATTCGGTAACTTTTTTTTAATTCTGAGGGGTTTCAGATTCGATTCGGTAACATACCATATGGCGACATGACTGCCCTTTCTGTCCACACCTCTCAACGGCCGTAGTCGCTTCAACCAGCTTTTCTCGCTATACATTTCATTATTTACTTTGTAGCTTGAATATAGAAATTATTTGTATCGCGTGACGTCATAAAGTGTGTTTTGTCAATATCCATTGTAGGATTTCATGCGTTAATTGAACTAGCCATATTTTTGATTTGGTTATTACTTAAAACCCGAGGAACTCGCTGTTCACAATGGGATTGTACGAATTCAGTACTTCTCCAGGACTTTTACAATGTATCCATTTGCCTTGCCAATGTAATTTTTTAGTACAATAAATATAATGTGAAATTGTTGATCATGAGCAATCAATGGCCGCTTACACGCCATATCCCGACGGTGGAGGGGGCGTGGCCGCGTATTTCGTTTAACTTGCCTTAGGTGTTTTTTTTTCGCAAGATATTTCCATTTTTTGTCAACTGCCATGCTCTCTTGCGCTGGACAAAGAGATGGTTACAGCAGTTACGGAACGAAAACATGTGTACTATCAAAAGCACTGTCCGACCACGTTCAATTGAAGTACGAAGACACGCCCTCCCCATCTCCACGAGATGCACTGCATATGACCTCTTCTGAGTGTTTCATTGGACATTCTAGAGAAGTGTTTATTACAAGGTACATTTACTAGGGTGTGATCTATACAAAAAAGCTAGCGATTTAAATTGTTCTAGAGCGAAAACCCGTACAGTGGAGGGGTGTCGATGTCGAGAAACAGCACGTATGTTTCTAGCCTGCGCGAGGTTTTCAGGTACGATCAATGGAGCTCCAGTGAGTATATGATCCTCCACGCCTCAATCTACGGAATCTCGAACACTTCATATCATCTTCACATAAGACGATACATTAAAATCATCAAAATGTAATCTAAAGGTTGGGAACAGTAAATGGCATCATTGAAACAGACTTCTCTGACGTGTTCACTGCTGCGGCAACGAAATGTGGGCGACAGGTTCGTGATCGTTATCGTGAAGAAGCTTCAACGAAAACTTTAAAATTTCCTCATGAACAACTTCCTTCAAAAATATACTACCACTTTATTTTCGAAGATTTTTTGAGAATTATGGCGTTTCTGCATACGGTAATGATTTGGCACCTACTGAAGTAGCCATATAGTGAGATCCGCCGTAGGATCATATTTCAATGGCTTAGCCCACTCTTTTCTGTTATGGTGAATCGTGAAAGCCCATATGCTCAGGGCATGTCATCGCTGTGATAACCACAAGGAGGGGGGGGGGTCGTATACCGCCAGGGAGGGAGGAGGTCGTGCTTGGTCTGAGAAAAATTCTACCGATAGTTGATTTCGCTTGTTTGGGGGTGAGGTCGTATTTGCTCCTTGTTGGGAGAGGAGCGAGGCCGTATTTGCCTTTGAGAGGAATTTACGGCGTTGGGAGAAGAACTTTTCCCGGTTGTTGACTTCTTGCACTTTTTCCCGTTTTGCTGGTGTTGTATACCCCTCCCCAACTGCAGAATTCTGAGGCAAAAACTACATATTTTCGGGAAATGCCGGAGAATTCGGAAAAAAAGTGTGTAGGAAGTTGGGAAGACCTGGGGAAAAAGGTACGTAGGATGGGGAAGGGGGTGTCGTATCACAGTAGGAGGCTCGTGTTTTGCAGGAATTTATCACGACGCGATGCTGTGCCCTGCATATACTGTGAAACCAGCGATGCGCCTTTCATCGAAGATCGTTATAGGAAAGCTACTCGGCCGAATGGTCACGTACTGCTCGCTATTGTGGTCTCGTGAAGCTGGGTGTGCCAGGGTCACACATAACCTGCACTACCTCTTCTAGTAGCCTCATACCTCTACTTTCATATGGCTGGAATATCTGCATGTCAAATCAAACTTACCTCGACGTTAGCCAGTGGTGGGGCTCCACGTCTTGGATGCCGGCCGTCAAACACTTTCATTACTTCTGAAAACATAACATAATAAAATTCTAAAGGAACAGACTGCACTGGAGAGCGAACCAACGGTTGGATAACCTACTCGCAACTCCAAGCCCTACGACTATTCCAATTACTACAGCACAGGATACAATGAATAGCTTCGATGACGACTCTGCAATAGATCAGCTTCTGAAAGATTTCGTTCATGAAGTGAATATAACATATAGTATAATAGATCATCACTTATATAATGAGAGTGTTGCTTGTATAAACAGGCATATTGTATGCCTATCAGTGGAACTGATTCTCTTGGCTAGATCAAGAGATCCGCAGCTGCTGACGAGTGCCATTTGAAACTGCGTAACGATGAAGCCAGACAGTTATGATAGTCAAATGATCTCAAATGATCTTTTTTGTTGCGTCCACAAGCAAAGCATGCCGTAGAACAGGCTGCACGGCCAGCCATTCATCTAGCCCTGTAACACTTGCCAGTTGTCTGCGCTCCTCGAATTCAAAGGAGCGCCAAGCCCTTCGTTGCGAGATCCTGGTCTCCCAGGTTCTGTACCGAACGCGTTGGCAACATGACTGCAAATTGCGCAGCGCGCATTGTGACGTGTACAATGGCGGTGTCAGTACGACCCTCGTGGAGGAGGGTCTCAAGTAGACCCCCACTTCCTGCTATAATTGTTTGCTCTGACGAGAAGAGTTGCATTCGTGGAGATTTGCAAAACTTGCGGCCAGGCGAAGACTACAGCACAAAGTAGCGCTGGAGTATACTTGTCGGCAAGAAAGAAACTGTAAGGCTTTCCGGGGGTTTTATGAGTTATAAAACTGTTCTCATCTTCACAAATGCTACACTTCTATGAGAGCTACAATTATACAAATATGGGACAAAGACCTGAGTTGCTTCCGTAGAGGGGAACTAACTCGCACGTATCAAAATTAACGATGAAAATCAGCAGCATGGGACCCAAAAACGGCAAACGGCATTCAAAGCAAAGGTAAAGCAGCTGCTGAGAAGAAACAGGTTTCCTCTTTCTGGTCGCAAGAAACACCTTTATGAAGGCCTTCTATTTCAAAATATCCGCCATCGAGGATTTTTCTCCCGATAACGAGGAAACTATCATCATTGTGCGAATTGCCGTCCTTCAGAGGTAAATAACTTCGTTCACAACACTTTTGAAGTAGACGCACAAACTGTTCGAAACGCGCGATTACAACGGAGACCTGTCATCCAGGAACGGTAAAAAATAACTTGCCCCAATGCACAATAACAGCATAAAACTCAAATTTTATAATTGCTAGTGCTGGACGGGGTCGTACCGAGATCCCGCTCTGAAAGGGTTATAGTACTGATACAGACCTTTCACCTGTTTCCAAGCTGCTCCCCGGTGGCTTTCTTCAAGCCATTATCTCTGTCTGCTCATATCATTTTTTCTCGATTTTACAAAGGATCGTGGATCATACATTATCGTCGATGAATCGGACTGTTTATGATTCACAGTGTGAATTCCGTAGTTTAAAATCATAAAAAAATCTCGGAGATAAACTAAATGTCGCACGATCCAAATAGAAACAAACATAAAATAACAATTAGCAGGAAATGAATATCTGCACAGAAGAAGTCCACAAATTAAGTGGAACTCACCGGATGAACTTCTTCCTGTCAGATCGCCATCTGTAATCTCATAGTCCGATGGATCTGAATTAAAAGCAAACCCGTGATGAGTTCACGTCTCCGCCAGTCCAATTTCTTAGTTATACTTCTTTTTTCGAACACTTATAGAGTTCAATAGAGTCAAATAGTGCGGGATTCAGCGAATCGCTTAGTATACCAGCCTACTATAGTTTCAGTATCCGAACAAGTTGTTCAACTTCAGTTATGGATTGTAAGCAGGAACCTTAGTTTTTTTTCCATCTTTTGAAGACGATCTCACGACGAGGCAAGAACTGTAATAATGTTTGAGGGTTACATAGTCAGCTCAGGAAAGAGGACCATCTGTGAGCTGCTGCCAACACACAGGGCAATTTAAGAAATCCATGGGATTCCGTGAGTCTGTGAAATAACATTAGTTTTTAATTCTATACCTGAGATGCATTGCGCAGTCTTTTACAACTGAATGTTCGACGGGCCAGGAGGGCTAGAATTGAATTAGGACAGGTTGTCCTGTTAGGACTTCGATGCCATTCCTGGCTAATGGATAGATGCGAAGGACTTGTTTGGCAAAGGAAAATTCGTTTTTTGTGTTACCATATTACCTAGATATCACCAAAATCACTCGGCAAAACTGTAAAGGGGGGATGTGACCGCGCGACGGAGGGACATGGTTTAGACGAATCACTTTTCACCAGACTTCTGCAAAGGAATTCGATCAATCCATTCCTCCTGCCCCCCCCCCTCAGAAATACCCATCTTTTCGGCTCTCAGTCGTATCCAGCCATTCCAGCTTTAAGTGGGGTTCAACATGCAAAAAAAGTCGAAGAGTGTTCAAAAATTCCACTCAAATTTCAGGTCTTTGCAAGTGCCAGGGCAAAAAGGTCCGGTGTACGTAGACAAGAGCTTACAAAATGCCTTTCTCAAGCACTTTGGCAGACTACCTCTACTCATTACAAGTTCCAGCATTGCTCAACATTACAAGCTCCAGCATTGCACAACCTATCTCGAACACGGCACGCGTTGCACCTCCACTCGCAATCCCAACTGCACTTCGTAGAGACGGTGTGATGAATGCTCTGGGTGTTCACCCGATGTACAGGTCAGTGTTTTTTTTTCAAGACCGTTCGCAATCAGTTAACCGACCCCGAGAAATTGGAAGAATTGTTTCAGGCCCTAGCCGATCCAAAATTTGGCCCAGTGTGGCACTACTTTTGTAACACTACCTCTGGCTCACCAGCTTGGAATTCCAGATGTGTCCTAGATCTAGTCAAGCTTACAGCTCAGAGTATATCATAGCACATGAATCAGTTAATTCAGAGCTAGTCGAGGCATGAAGATCCACCAAAAATGACCAATAAATTGATCGGTCAAGAATGACTGGCAGCTTTCTGGAAGAGCTTAGCTTTTAAAAATGGCCAGGAAGTGATCGTAAGTACGAAGATGGACCTCGAGATTTACTTTGCCAGTCCAATAGGAGATGTGTCCTTCGTGAGACACCTCAGGCTCACCACTAATCAAACAGGAAAAGTTAAGAAGAAAAAAGAAAAAAATAGAAAAAAGTGGGAAGAAAACACTCACGTAGGCACTTCTCTTTATTGCAGAACTTGAACACCCAAGTGTTACCTAGATAGGTAGATGCTTTGACCATTCTTAAGTGTATTCAGTAATTTGTAGGAAGAACTTAACACAAAAATGCAATAAAAAGCTACTTCTCACCTATATCATCAACATCGCTAAGAATCATGGCATACTGTGTGTATGACAGATTGAATTTCTCCGTACCAAATTCTTGGAGGAGGTACGTACCGCAGTCGCGATACGTGTAAACTGAATTGAAGCAATAAAACCCTATTAGCCGCAAGAGCAAGGGGAAAAATGGTCATCAAAGAAAGGCAAAACGACAAAGTTCCAATCTACTAAAATCTAATTTGAGCTCTATCAGATCACGTGAGGCAAATAAAACACTTAGGATCAAAAGCGCCATTATTCAGTGTAAGGGCGGGGGGGGGGTGAGGGAGGGGGAGCGGATAAGCCTGTTATTTAGTTCTTCCCAGCAATTAAGTGGAAATAAGAAATCGGATCATATGCGAGTCTCGCTAATCATCAGTATAGCATTAGTTCCCATTTTCCGGAGTAGAAGCGACATTTTTAGTGCCTTCTTCATCGTCGCAGAGGACCTTCTCAAAGCCTTGGGTTACGATTACAAAGTGTTGAGATGGTAACCATTACATAAGGGTTCGTTTAACACCTAATTCTTAACGACTGGCAGCGCTCCAAGCGAAGGGTTTACTCAAACACACACGGGAGGCACTTCGCAAAAGAGAGCAAAAAGAGTAAAGAGCTTGGGGAATAGAGAGAGGTTACAAGCTCATTTGCCCAAGGTTCCTCTTCAATTCAGCCCAGAGCTTGAAAAAAAAGTGATAAAATAGGAGTCTGAACGAATGTGGTCTCTTATAAGTTGTCAGCGAGCCAAAATTGTATTAAAATTGAAGTTCACTGACCATTCCCGGTTTCCTGCTCGATGAACTGAGCTTGTATACATGATGTGGAGCATTTCATCTGCAGAAGAGGTTTTGTTCATGAAGGAATTCATGAAACTCAAGCGCTAAACATACCACATTTCCTTGATCTTTCGCGCAGGGGTACCCTTCGAGAGGTCCTGTATTGTGCTTCTGGTAGAAACCGACGTAGTTGTGACCTTGCTGACAAAATCATTTCATTTAATTAAGAGTCTATCTTTGAACATTTGAAAATTTTTGAACGAAAAATAAAACCAGTTTGGTGGCGAGTTGTTGATGTCTAAGGTATAACAAGCGTAAATGAGTGGTGACAGCTCCACTTGACGAGAAAGGGTCTGCCTCGCTTCGAGGATGGTGAACCGTTTTCGAAGCCGCATTCCTTGCCGATAATATTCGGCTCTTTTGTCTTCAGAGGTGCCCGTTTGTGGAACTAGGGCGGTAGATAAATGAACTATGACCTGTTTGCAACGGGTCACAGAATTAAAGGCAGCTGCAGAAAAAGAAGCAACAACGAAACATTTCGCGCTTTGAAGATGATCGCTTCATCGCCTGAATGACTCTTAAAAACTAGATGAACTGGAGTAAAAGGCTTAGCTTAATCGATCGTAAGCCAAGTTAGTGTAACCCTGTGAGAATAGCGGACATTCAAAGTTAATCAGGAGCCGTAAGAGAAGGAAGTCTATAACTCTTGATTTTTCAAATCAAGAGTTACAGGCCTTCCTAACCTTAGGCTAGAGACGTGCAAACAGTTTTAAATTCACCCGTGGGACATACTTACACCTACAACAACCCTAAATTCTCAAAGGATATCTCTGCTGGGAGTTAGTCTGTGGAAGTGCTCCCAATTATGAAACTATAGGACACTTCGGTTGTTCTTATGCCACTTGGGAGGGGGGGGGGGTGGAGGCAGTTGTGCGGCCGCGACACTGACCGAGATCCGCTGTAAACGATTTTGGCAAGAAACAACGTTGACGTGAGCCTTCTTTGGTTATTCCTTACCAGGCAGTCATATCCTTGACGAAAGCAAATTCTCCAGAGCCGCCAGCCAACCCGATAGAGGGGCCAATTGGCACATTCTCACTACTTTCAAATTTGTATTGGGAGCTAAGAAATGGTCATAGTCACGAATACGACACCTATTTTTTAACAGCAGCGCTGAGAACATGTTATGTTCGTCGATCAGGGCCGTCGAAATTTGAATTTCTGGGCCACCTAAGAGCGAAAAGTGAGGCAGCCAAAGAGATCGCGATGGAGCCAAAAGACAATGCGGTATTCAACTTGTAACAGTTTTAGCGGCAAAAGTGGCGAAGATGGGCCCGGCGCAATACTGTCAAATAGTAGGCTCCGGATCCTCGGGAAGTGCGCGCCGACACCAAAGGATGTACCAAATGAGCAGCTACTGGTGTCTAATACTAACTAACCATTACTTCCAGAAGTAGCTGTATAGAAAAATAGGAGTACAATAGCTTGTAAAGCGACAGAATACTTCAACGTTCTCGGTTTGCCTGGTATATACCCGGAATTCACTAAACACTTCGTAGAAAAACAAGTTACTAACTTTGTAGACCTGTTTTGTCACGACAGTAACTGCAACACGCTCGAAAACGACAGCGATTCGCAGGAGGACAAAGACACGGTCGCAAGAATGAATACGAATCCGCATCGCTCTAATTGATTTAACATTGATTAGCATTGTAAAAACCAGCATATGAAAAGCACGTAACGAATAATGTCAAGTGAAATTTCATCACAATGATTAGAACTATTTTGACCGTACCACGGAGAAAAGGTTGTTCCTATTGAAGGATAATATCCGCCTACAAAAAAGGTTGTGCCTTTTGAGGAGAAGGTGAGTCGCTCACCTTAATCCAGTGAGATATTTTTAAAAGCACTGGTGGATAAAATTATGCAAAATTGATGGTTCACAAAGATGCTGTAAAGGAAAAATTGCTTTGAAGACGCTGAACCAATCGTAGACATACCCCTCGTTCAATGAGTGCGGGACAGTCTCAAGACTGTCTCCGCTTGCAAGGCTCCAGGGCGAGTAGCGTGCGGTCTCCGAAGGCAGTTCTGATGCCTTCGTAGCTGTTCGGCCCTCAAGAACTCGAAGGAACCCGCTATTTTTGTTTGACACAGACATTTCTCGTATTTTTTTTCTTATGTTAGATGGGTAAGCAGTGGCGCTAGGAGGGGGCTAAAGAGCTAGAGACGGCAAGATATGCCTTTGCTGGCATAAACGAGCAGAACGCCACTTGTGACTCCAGGGGTCCTGGGTATGCTCCACGGTTTTTTTGTCCGTTTCTTTTCTATGAGTCACCTAGCGACTCTAGCTTTGTAAAATGAAGCCACAATCCCAATATGCATCGCACGGTTGTGCTTCCAAAAAGGAAATTAAATAATTTCGGAAGAAATCGAACTCAGAGTGCTCTGTACTTTTTTTCTAGGAGCAAAACACTGCAAAAGGCCACATGAAAAAGAGACTGGAGAGGGAAAAAGAAGATAGGAGGAGAAGAGAGTAAATGTGAAGGAATCAGTTCTCACCGGCGAAGATTAGCACTCCACGGATGGCCGCTGGGAGAAACTTTGTTCTGAAGATTCATTTCAAATCAAAAACGGCTTTTTTCTTGAGAAAAAAAACCCAGCTTCAGCCAAGTCCACTTCGAATTGAACTTAAAACAGAAACAAGATTCCAAAAATAGAGATCGAATCAGGGCTAATCATCACAAGAAGTGATATCCGGCATTCTTTATCAGTTCTTACCCTGCTATTCAAAATTCAAGCCGAATTGCAGTCGGGTTTCTCCCTTGGCTATAGTTTCTGCCAGAATTACGTCCATGGAAGCGACTCGACTTCCTAAACACGGATGTCATCCGTTTGGCGCGATCACTCATGGTGCCCGCGCTACCGGTGCTGCAGGCCACTTCAAACTATGGTGCTGTAGCGCATGTACATGTAGTTTGTCACATTGCCATCACTCGGGGTGACGTGAGCAGGGCGGTTCGTCTTGCTATACCAATGGCCATCTGTTGGAAATCTGTTATGAAAGAGACACCAGCGACGGAAACGCCGCAGGGTGGGGGGGGGGGGTACTGATGGCGACCCGACTGATTGCGGTGATAGGAGGTGTTAATAGTGTTTTTGCGGAAAGCGTGCGATTCTCGTTTCAGGAGATCAATCTACCCCCAGGGACGGGATTCATGTTCATGTTCATATCCAAGTCGGCTTTCATAAAAACTTTCGCTCAAAAGCTGCCGAAAATTTTGATCGGATAAGCAGTAAAAGAGTGCCGAAATGTTTCCATTATTTCGAAATAATACCCTCCCAGTCCCTCTGAATGGATAGGCGAAGGGAAGGGATGTTGGCAGATCTGAAACAAGAACAAACAAAAACCTCCCATACGAGTAAGCCCCCCCTCTAGTGATGATGTGCACTTGACTGGATACAATTATAGTGTACGGGACCACCATTCAAATAGACCTACTAGTTACCACTGCGCGTAAGTATTCTACTTATATTCAGACAGTATGGGGTATATACCTTGCCCAAGTATTTCGCAGCTTTTCTTTCGCCTAATCCTTTCCTGGAGGCGGACGGGTGTAGTGGAAGTGGCACGCTTACCACGCGTGCAGTCCGGGAGTTGCACTTGACTCCCTGAAGCGCACGTACCGGTCGGTTCTCGCTCGGGCCAAGCAAGCCTTGGGGTAAATTGGTACAAGATTCGTCTAGGAAAGAAGAACACTGACATCCACATCAGCTGGCCACAGGGAGTCATCGCATAGGCCACATCGCACTAAATAAGGCACTATGATCCTGAATGGAAGTAGAATGCACGCCGCATCCCAAGAAGGTATTGACATTCGGCGAAGACTCTATCCTTCTGATTCTTTCTAAGCTGCAGATGCATGACCAAAAAATGACGCAGTAACTGTTAAACCAGTTGGGACATACCGCAAAAATGGTAAGTGTTATTCTGAAGCTGTCAACTGTATCGAGAAAGAATGAAGCACCAAGAGCTCTTCATAACGGACCAGTAAGAAGAGGAATGCTCGCTATGAACGACACATTGGCGAATGAATTGATGGCACGGATTACAATCAGTGGGTGGACAAAAGAATTTCTGAACGGAAAACAGCTTTGAGCTCTCAGTTCTCAATGTAGGAGATTCGATTGCGGAGTGACGTTCATTTGTGTTGCTTAAGATCACTGGCGGAGATATCGTTAAGTCATTGTCCCTGATAAATCAATCAAATCATTTTTAAGTATGTCACATTTCGATTTTTTGTGTCGCCCATACTGTATGGCGCGTGTCCCAGGAGTGAAAGAACAAGTGGTGAAGGTTTCCATTAACTTCCATTGGGGAAGGTAGTGGAATTCTATAAGTTTGAGCCAAGTTTCCAGCTATTTTGCAGGAAACTGAATTTTTATAACAATAAAAGTGCTGTTCGTGTTGGAAGGGGCATGCCGCACTTTCTGCTCTCGCGCACTTTTTGATAGTTTCACCCAGGGCACATCGTTGTGGGGACTCACGTTAGCGGGTCGTACTTGGTCGCTGGGAGATTGGAAGGTCATATTACACTTCTGTCCTCTTAGTGGGAGAGGTTGGAGAGGTTCCTGACTCTTTGTGGTAGATCCTGTTCTTTCCTGCTTTATGTGTACTATAATAATTTACCTCCCCCCCCCCCCCGTCGACAGCAAAATCGGTAAATTTTCGACAAATTGTGGAAAAGTGGTAAGAAGTTGGGACGATCTAGAAAAGTGGTGAGTAGGATGGTGGGGGAGGGGTTTATTTAGAGGGGGGTCGTACCAACTCCCTAAAAAAGGATGGTCTTACAGACTCAACCAAAATCCACAACCATAGGTGTGCCCTGGTTTTACCTTCAATTTACAAAGTAGACATGAAAACTTTGCTCGAACCAAGTGCGTCCAAAAAACTCCAGATTACAGGTCAACCAAAGTTTGTTTGGATAAATGGTTACAAACGCATGCTGGTAAAAACATCAAATCTGAGAGTTCTCATAATAAGGTCCCCAAACTGATCTTCAGTAGGCCTCAATTTCGGCACCTTCGTCTTTGTCAGAGGAGGGAGCAAGCCCTTTTGAAGTTCGTCCTTTAGTGCGATCTCCTCTACCGACTTTTCCCAAATTCTGCCGTAGAGCGTGCTGTGTGGAGGGTACGGGAGAATCAGACACACTCATAGTAGTTTTACGGCGCCGTCAAAGAGGACCACTCGTGCCTGGGAGAAGGTCAAGAGAGTTGCAACTAGCCGCGCCGTTGCGCGCGGCGCACCGTCTCGCGATGAGTGCGGGGTATTTTCAATGCGGGCATCACGCGGCAGTATACGCGGGATATTCAAACTGTGCGTCATTTTCTCGGTTGGAGTAGCAGAACGCGAGGGGAACGCGGCATAATTTTGTTAGTCCTCCTTTATTCCCCTACATAGTGCACATGATTCTGGCCATTTCTTACACCGCCTATTGCTGTCATCGCTGACGATATGGGGCATCAAACATTTCAGCACCCTTAGAAGTGACACCGTTTCCCATCCCTTCAATATTAAAATTCGAAAAGCTCTTTTCTTTTGCGCGCGTCGCTCGCACGCCTGTCAGCACGCTAAATTGCGATTCTCTGGTCATACCCCTTGCGTTACCAATCGCCCAAATTCGGAGAGCTCCTATCAACAAGCTGGAACAGCAATACTTCTCAGTGCGGGCTGGCACAACAAAAATCAGCAAAGGAAAAAGTTCACAAATTTTTGATCAATGAAGCTGTACGACTCGTCCAGACCCCGCTGTCTTATCAATTCCGTCTGTTAGGAGTATGTCACAAGGTGACAAAGCAATCATGATCAGGGCACGTCCTAGAGGCGTCGTATTTAATCCAGGGAAATTTTTTTGATAGTTGATTTTTTCTCACCTTAACGATTGCTTCTTGTTCTCAGCTTCACCGGCTTTAGGGAACATGCACAATAAGAATGGAAGAATTGTAATGTGGGGCGGAAATCGAATAGGTCCTGCCTCTCGTAAATATATTTGCCGCAGCTTACATCGAATAAAATATTTTTGAAAAAAACACTGTAATCCTCTGACTTGTATTCCCGACCCCAACCTATCGCAAAGTTATTCTCAAGGTATATCACACGGTGCCAGTAATAATACAACCTAAGCCCCGCGGCTCCACGGCGGCAATCCTGCACGGTTAGTTCTGAACACGAGCTTTTGAAAGATCCGGCTACAAATTCTATTAGTGCTGCGCCACCCCATCAGTCCTGCCTTGTTTGGAATCCGCAGAATTTCACGTACTTCAGTTGATAACTGTAAAGTCGCCGCGACCATGGCAGCGCGGTACGCTCGCAGACAAAATTTTGTCGGTTAGCCCGTTATCACTCATGATTCGCCTCTTTGGCAGATACTAAGAAAACTACTGCGTGACCTTGCTTTCGATTCGAAGAGATGCATTACTGCACAGGATGCAATAATCGTACAAGTTTACCATAGTTCAACTGTCTAGCGTGGCGATTTGTCGCGGTGCAATCCGCTGTTATGAAGCTTTTGCTCGTGCTACCTTCTTTTTAATAGTATTCATGGAGAATCAGGCAACGAGTGATGCGAGGCAAAGAACTGTGAGCCCGTGGCCTGCCGCAACAGCAGTAAGAGCACGACTTTTCTGGCTTGAAAGAACAGGAAAATCTTAGCTATACAGGTTGAGACT